GCCATGTGATTGGTTGATTAGATAATTGCATTAATGAGAAATTGAACAGGTGTTCCTAATAATCCTTTAGGTGAGTGTATATATATATATATCCATCCATCCATTGTCTAACCCGCTTATCCTACTGGGACGCGGGGGGTCCGGAGCCTATCCCGGAAGCAACGGGCACGAGGCAGGAAACAACCCTGGACGGGGGGCCAGTCCATCGCAGTATATATATATATATATATATATATATATTGTTAGAAAAAACTACACACAGTTGTAAGAAACTGATTTTCCTTCACTTAAATCTTTTGGCTCCTTCTGGTGTGATGGTTGCATTTAAACTGACCCTGGATGGTCCATTGTAGGCACACACACACACACACACACACACACACACACACACACACACAGGCTTGTAATTGTATCTTTGTGGGGACTCTCCATTCATTTCTATGGGGGAAAACTCTAACCTCAACATGGCGACCTTAACCTTTACCCAGCCCTAACCCTAACCATAAGTAACCAAACAAAATACGAGACATTTTTGCTTTTGATTGCATTCACAGATCTTTGTGGGGACCTGAAAAATGGTCCCCACAACATCAAAATAACAGGTTTTTATTACATTGTGGGGGACTTTGGGTCCCCATAATGTAATATAAGCCTAATCCACACACACACACAAAAGCACAATTGAATGGCACTGATTCACCTGAAAACATGTCTTTGGACTCAGGGAGGAAAATGGAGAACACAAGTGGAAATTCTCACTAAAACAGGAAAACAGAACCTGGCAGAGCATGACCGCTGGCCACTGGCATTCTGAACATAATGGCTAGCATGCCACACATACAAGAGCTTTGAAACATGCTTGTGATGAGCTGGATTACAGGGTTGGGGCCGTTCCGGAATGCATTGATCAATTCCAGTCCAAATCAGGAAATGGAACTGGAGTTGAAACTTAAATCTCCCTGAAATTCAAATTCAACTCCAATTCTGTTCCCTGTAGTTTTTTTTTCCAATCCCAGCTCCAGTTCCATTTCCTGATTTGGACTGGAATGGATCAATGCATTCCGGAACGGCCCCAACCCTGCTGGATTACACTTCTAAGTGTTTTGTACTGATTGATTTGTTTTACTCATTCCATTTGAACCGGTTTTAGGTTTAGATAAACTGTGATTTAACCATATCTAACAAAACACTTTACCCATCAATTTAATCTAAATTTTGTCAACGTGATCAAACACATATATTTCAAAGTCAAACATTTAAACAGACAAACGTAATGTATTTCAGTTCTATGAAAGAACATAGAACGGGGTATTTCCATTCTGGGTTTAAAGGCTAAAGCGAGGTATGTTTTTAATCTCTCAGCTTAAACAGGCTCACTCAATTTTACTACTACATAAATAAAATAACTATAGTGAAAATAACTGCAGTTTGCCCAGAATAATCGGTCAGCCGTGATTTGTTACGGCCTTGTTATTGCATGTCCGCAGCGCTTCCGATACCTGTCCTCATGATGTACTGCCGTCTTTGGCTTGTGAACAGTGTTTCCATTCTGTTCGGAGAGCGTCTCACTGTCGCCCTCTGCTGGTGGAAGCCGCTTTAACTTTTCAGCAAAAACTTCAGTTTAAAAACCCAATATGAAATACAAAACCCTACATAAAGTAAAAATATATGCAATATAGATATATAAACTATAAAAACAAAAGTATAAAGTAAAAAGAGTTTGACTTTCCGGTTCTGTGTTACCACAGTTTTTTCTTTCCATTCTACGTTAACTATTAATTTTATTTAACGAATGCTTTTGTCCAAAGTGACGTACAAGTGAAGATCGGAGAACAAGGTCAGCCAGTGCCCCTGGGGTGCCGGGAATGAGAGCCTTGCTCAAAGGTCCAGTGGTGACGTGCTCACCGCAGGCCACGCACCGATTACAGAAGCCACGCGCAGAGGTCCTCGCCTTTTATCTCACGCATGCATTTTGCCAGCATCTACCAGGTCCTCCTATCTAACCTAGCAGAAAGCCCCCACCGTACGCCTGTCCGGCGCAGTCACCAGTAGCATTTCCCAATACCTCCGCTCTCTCCACAACCCCCACCCCCCGGGAGCTCATTATGCAGGACTTGTGAACACAGACCTGCCAGATTTTATCGCCCTTGGAACCAGCTTAGGTATAATGTTGAAACGCAGTATCAACAGCAATAACACATAAGAAAAAATATTTGTCAGTTTGCACATCTGTCATTACGCTTTTAAATAAGCATGTCATCGCATTGCCTCACAGTATCAGCAGTAGTGGGACTGATGGTCGAACCATCAGCAATGCAGGAGTTTTCTCTGTATTCTCCAGTTTCCCGTCCACAGTGGTAATGCACGATGATTTAGTGTAAAATGCATTTAGTGTTTGTGTGAATGTCCTATCATATTCAATCATTGAGTGCTACTGTTATGTAATACATCATTGCGTAATTCGCATGATGGATTTCCCTTCTGAAGATATTATATATATATATATATATATATACACACACACACACACACACATTATAGTACAAATAGACTGTGAAACTGACAAAAGAAATTATACAAATATCAGATTTTCTTCAATGATTTTGCATTAAGTTATGAAGTAGGTATTGGTAAAGAACCTAGGCCAGATGGCTGCTAACACAAGCGTTACATGCTGCTACAGAGACTAACGGTACTCAAACTGAAATATTGGGTAGTTTAATACAATTATTACAAGCACCAAAGGACCAAGTTTATTGCTAGAAGACAAAATAGAAAGATGCACCTGAAGATCACGGGGAATTAGAAGAAACACATACACAGGCAAAACGCCAAAAAAAAAGATTCTTTCAAGCACATAAGTTTAAACTAGGAACATGAAATACGTGAGCAGGCAGACTCAATATTTCCAAGTTTAATTGCGCCCCATTCGGTCTTTCAATAAGCATCCAAGCCCCACCTCACCACAGCGGAGACCAATCAGAAGGCATAGATCGCCGTGAGTGAGCCAATGAAAAGCCGCGTGCCTATACGGTTCTGAGGTCCCTAACGCAGGTCTCCGGCGGAGCGCTTTTATTTTCCAGGATGACATGGCTCCCAACAATCAAAGATTGGCCAGCGTCGCTTTCTGTCACAGGAGGGAAGTCTCGCCCGAACAATAATAGAATCTGCTCGGTCGTTCGCCGGTGGCTAGACCTTTGCACTTCTTCCCTCCGAGCAAAAAGCTTTCTCTTTTGGGTGGGTTGCCCGAAGTGTGGGACGGGAGGGGTGCCGTGCGGCTTCCGGTTTCTGGGTGAAATTGACACACAATGAGGAGTCGGGAACATCCTTGCCCGTCGCCGCTGTAAATAAACAGAACAATCGCCGAAGACAGGATCATGGAGAATCAGGTAATACGGCATTCCAGCGGATCGGTGCATGCCTAACTGGGAAGCTAGACGTGGTCACGGGGCCGCGACAGAACCGTGCCAACTACCTAGCCACTTTATAATAGCAGACATGCTAGAATAATACGAAATTGGAGGAAGGGAAAAACGTCGCCTGGTAAGTACTTGGCTAAAGGCACGCATGTCATCGGACACAGAGCCGCGGTCGGGCGCGATCACAAAAGCGCCGTGCTAGAGCCGGGGCCGACGCTGGCATCCAGGCTGCCATCGCGATCCACCTCGGCCCCCATTGATTCGGATGCGATGGGCGACTGGAAGGCGCCCGCAGGAGGACTGGCTGGCTGGCTGCATTCTCGGCCAGGTCTTTGGGGAAGAAGAGGAAGAGAAGAATGCGGGGGGAGGGATGTGGACGGAGACTGGTGCTGCTGGTCCAGCTGTTCGCAAAGGGAAGCGGGAATAGTTCTCTGCTCCACCGGGGCATTTTGTGCGCGTTATTAGGTGGGATGGATAAATAGTTAACGCTCCGATGGATGAGCTGTGGTTAGGGTTGCGTGGGGAGCTGGAGTGGCATAGTCGAGGTGGTTCTAAGCGAGCTTAGCAATCCCTTTACTTGGCTGTAGCTGGCAGTGTGGCTAGGATCGTGGAGGTAAATCCGACCCCGTACGGATATGAACCACGGGCATATTTCACCTCCATTCATTATAGCTCCTCTGCTCTCGTTATTCGCCGCCACGTTGGATCGCCGGGAGATCGCATCCCGTCCAGAAAGCTCCCTGCAAGAACTTTCACGTCAGGTTCAATCCGGAAGGGGATAGCTAGCGTGCAAGGGGCGAAATATCGGCTGCGGGGCCATTGCGATGGCTGTGCATGCAGGCAGCTTTAGGTAGCTTAGCAGCCTGAGCTCCGGAACCTCGCCGCCGCTCCGGGCTCCGCCAGCAACCCGTCCGCTGCTGCAGGACGGAGCTACGACTCGCCTGATCCTTTTTGAAACTTAACTTTTTTTTTGGAGGTTGGATCGAAAGTTATTGTGAGGCGATAGGCTTAAGTCCCGGAGCCACGTTTCCGGAGAGCAGCGGGAGGGGAGCCGAGGAATGCGACGTCCGGGAGCAAGGCCACACTGGCCGCGGCGTAGCAAAGCGGCCTCCGCCGGCTCGATCCGCGCTCCTTCCAGGTGTGATCCGCTGCCTCGTTTTCCGTCGAACCTTAATACTATTTTTAGCATTGAGTATTATTTTTATTTTTATTTTTTACAAATGTTGCACTGTGCATGGGACAACACGAATCGGATCTGTTGTTGAAGTGCCTATTTGCACTGGTCTGGAGTCTGAAATTGGGTTCATACGAGGGGGACAGAAACTTTGTTTATTATTATTATTATTATTATTTTTTTTTTTTAAGTCTCATCACCTTAAATGATTGAAATGTGAAACGCGCAGTAATGTACACCTCGGGTGTCTCCCCGGCTCCTTCCCTTCCTCCTGCCTGCCAGCTTCTGCTTTGAGCTGGGTGGCATATAAATAATTCATGTTTGTCAAAACATCTCCAGATTTGCACAGATTTCGCGTGTTTGTAAAGGAGGAATAAGTCAGCTGCAGCCTTGGCCCGTGCTAATGAGGCGCCCTTATGTGAGCCGCGGCTTTGCGCGGTGGTTGTTTATCCCCGGCACCTTTCGGCGTGGGACAGTGTGATCTTGCCTGGAGTGGCCATAGTTTTGAGGATCAGTGCCCCCCGACCCCTGGTGCAGATGGCTGCGACTCTCGCCCGCCTCGCTGTATTTGCAGAGACACTGGTGATGGTGTTTTCGCTGATCTATGCTTCTACTGAGGTTACCGATGTGGCTTCACGGGCGCCGTGTCACCACAGCTAGCCAGCGGAGATTTCCGGTCTAAAGCTGCCCCCCTCCTCCAAAAAAAGGAGCTGGGGTAGTGCAGGTTTGTGTTTGCCTTGCCGGAAGTGAAAGAGTGACACTTGCTGTCACGTTTTGTGACAGGCAGGGGTATGGTTAGAGATTTTGGACCCCCAACCCAGACCAGTCATATTATGTTCCAAATTTTTTAGGGCCCTTGTCGCTTAGGGGCCCTTGGAATCGTTCTAACTGCCCCCTTCTTTACAGGGCTCCTGGTGATGGGTATTTGTAAACAATTTCATGCAACGCATTATTATACACACATATACCCTATCGGTGATGTATCTGATCAGACATCTTTCGGTTTTACGTCGCTGAACGTCAGATAATTGTATTTCTCTCTGAATTTGATTCGCTTTTCTTTGCGTGACTGCAGTGACTGCTGAGTTTTGGTGCCACAGCATCCCGTCCTCTGCGCTGGCTGCTCTCTGCGGCTTTATTTGCTGACCCGTCCATCTTGCCTCATCCCCAGTGCACCGTACAGGTGAAACTGGAGCTGGGTCACCGGGCACAACTCCGCAAGAAGGTGACGACGGAGGGCTTCACCCACGACTGGATGGTGTTTGTTCGCGGCCCTGAGTCGGGGGACATTCAGCACTTTGTGGAGAAGGTGGTCTTCCGGCTTCACGAGAGCTTCCCAAAGCCGAAGCGAGGTGGGTAGAGCGGGGGCGTCTGTCACGCGGGGGGGGGGTGCACTCTCGCCACCTTCCCTCGAAATGGAAACGCCGGCAGCCTGTTTTACAGCCGTCTGACGTGTTTAATATGAGCCGTCGGCTGTTGAATTTTATTTAATGAATATTGGGAACATCGTGATAAATATTTGAGACCCAGCCTGAGGATTATGACCTAACTAACAAAGATCCCCAAGACCAGTGAATTTTTTTAATGATATATCTGCATACTTAGTTTGATACAAAACATTTTTTTCTTCAATTAGGCATTTGATTACTTTGTCAGCAGTGTCTGCAAGGAATGGGATTTAGGAATAATACTTAAGTGATTTTTTTTTTTATGTTGGTTTATGAAAGCATGCCTTATAATTCTCGTACAGTGACCCGTATCGGAACAGTGTTTTATTCAGTCAGTTCTGTTTTGAAGGATCTGGTATTTTTAGGATTTGTACGTTACAAGTTTGTGTGACACGATGGTTTGAGTCTGTCTGTCTGCCACCCAGTCTAGTGTGTAGCCAGAATTAGCTGGTGTGGTTTTACTTTTGCATTCTGTCTGGTCATGATGATAATTGCTTGCGGCAGAAAATGCTTGGAGATGGGCAAAACCGTGGAAAGGATGCGAGGCACACAACCTTTATGCAAAGTATTGTGGCCTTGGCACGTACAGCGGCGACACATGGAATATAGAAATCTCTTCCCAGAATGCATCTGGTTGTGTTGATATTAGCAGACTGTGTCCAGAGTCTGCTGCTGAGAGCGGGCATGACTGGGGAGGCTTAGACTTCATTTTCTACCCACGTCCTCTTAGTACTGGAGGAGTTATGTTGAGCTGGTTACTCTATTCCCTAGTTTACCTTTTTCTGAATCTGCACCGATTCTGGTATGTACTATACAAAACGATGTGGTATGATGTAATATTTTGGGAGCTGGCAGTGTGATTTGTAGGCTCTGTTCGGTGTACATATTCATCTTTATGAGTCCTGGATTTGTGCTGTTTAAAAGTCTTCATTACTGGCATGTCAAATTCAGTTCAGCGCGTCCTGTGACGCCAGGCCTGCCAAGTTGGCACGTAATTGTCTGCAGCCGTGGTGATGAGCAACCTATTTCATTTGTTTGATTTTCCTTATTGGGCACTTAATGTAGCTAATGTCGCATATCTACAATTTATGTGTTGATGCCGATGGTGTGTGTAGCTGAAACATTTGTGCGTTTTTGCATTTTGTGCTTTTGGATTTGGGTTTATCTCATCTTTACGTGATATTTTTCAATAAGAGATTTCAGGATTGGCTCTGATAGCTAGATAGATAGATTAGATAGATTAGATAGATAGATAGATATAAAGAGAACTTTATTAATCCCTCGGGAATATTCCTACGGGAAATCCAGTTTCTAGTAGCATCATAGCACCATACAGTTACACATACAGTTACTCATACATTAGTTACAGAAGAAAGTATAGGGAGAAGTAATAAATAGCGGTGGGATGATGATACTAATAAATAATTATTGCATGGGTTAATTGGTCTATTGTACAGTGAATTATACACCATTATGGTACTTTTCAAAATTCTAAATCGGGTGTCTTTATTTCCCTTAATTTCTTTAGACTGCCCTCGACAGAGCTCCCTAAAATGGAATTTCTTCTTGCTGATTTGCTCTGCTTGTAATCAGCATTAGGTTGGTCATGGTAGTGCCACCTTGAATTTGCTGTGGCGGTGAGGTTCGCGACAAAGGCGGGATTGTGCTCTCGTTACCCGACACGACGCGCAGCGGCCCAGACAAATGTGGTGTTTATGTAAGGAGCTGCAATACAAGACTCTTTAAACCCGCACTCTGTTTGTGTGCAGGTTTAATAGCTTTGTGCTGACACGGTAAAACGGAAAATGTCAATACCCAGATACTCATTTCTTGGGCTGAAGTGGGTACTTCAGCAGGAAACAATCCCCCTTTTTATGTCAATTGTGAAACTTTATTTTTGCAAATATTAGATCTGTTTATTGTAGGGGTGGGTTTTTGGGGTCATGAATCACATTTAGTCTGAGATTTTCTCACACACTGGCATTTACGTGTGTGATTCCCATATTTATATATATTGTTTTAAATGGTGTATCCTTATCTTTTCAGTGTGCAAGGAGCCGCCGTACAAAGTGGAGGAATCTGGCTACGCTGGGTTTCTTATGCCCATTGAGGTTTACTTCAAGAACAAGGCAAGTCGTGAGTGTCTCTGGCTTGGGGAGAGCTGCTGTTTACTCGCATGTTAAGGGTCGGTGACAGGTTTTTACAGCCCAGACCGCATTGCAGCAGGTGAGGTTTTCGGCCAATGGGGCGCGAGGACATGGGTTTGTGCTGGATGCAGGGATCAGAGGCGTTATTCGGGCTTTATCGGGCAGCTGAGAGGGGCAGTAAATCTAGCGGGTCATAAGTGTCGTTCGAAGTGCGAGTGCTGCCTCTGCGTCCGAGGCGGAGGTCGGCATCTGCTGTCGGTGCCCAGAGGAGGCGTGGGCGCTCGGCGGTAAGCGGGCGCAGGAACTGCCGCTTCACCGCGCCGCTAGCGGCAGGCGGGCAGCCAGCCGTGGATTTTCGGGGCCTTTTCTCTGACCGCGGAAGGGGCAGGCCGCTGGCAGCTGGTCCACGATGAGGGCGAAAGGGGCTGTGAGGAAAGATAGGGGAGCTTAGCGGTGCTCCGCTGCCCTGGGCGCCTCGCCGGGACGGGCGGCTCCTCCGCCAGACAGTTGCCGCCTCCTGACGCTAAGAAGAGCTTCTGGACGCAGCCTGTCGACTGTCCCGCTCGTCTCTCCGAAGGCACATGCAAATGTTTATTCTCGACTTCAATCACAGCTTCCTGGGCAGCCTTCTTCGTCTTTCACTCGGGTCTCCTGAGGATTGCCTGTGGTGGATGTAACTAATGGGCCATGTAATGTGCTTCCAGACGCTCCCGTGGCTGGCTGAGGTCTCCCACGCGCTAATGGCTGACATGCCGTCTGTCCAGCCTTACCTGTAGATTAGCATACCCCACATGCCTGCACTAAACCTCGGCGTGACCCCTACTCCTCCTGCTCTCCCTCCCTCCAGAACCAGTCTTGTTAGTGACGCTTCACCCACTTCATTCTCTTGGTAACCCTTGTGGGTCGCACTTCATGGTGCCATCAGGCAAACCCTCGGATGCCTCCGGAGTCTGATGGCGTCATGATCATTCTTGCCAGAAGGACATTTTGGCGTGGTGAACTTCATCTGGACGGTTTGCGGCGAAGCCATCTTCTCATTCGTAGAACTTTGATTGGATGGGGGAGGGGGGGCGTGTCCATCACCCTTTCCTTGACCTGTGGCCGTCTTTGAGCTGAAGGATGGGGTGGAGATGGCCGGCCTGCGTGGACCCCTCCCACCGGGGGGGGGGGGGCTACCACCCTCCGCTTGAAAGGGCTCTGTGACCGTCCATCTCGTCGGGGGCTTAGCACGCTGTCAGCGCCGAAGGCTGAATGAGCAAGCTCTGGGGAGGGGGGGGGGGGGTTGTTATTTAAAATGAAGAGGAGCACTTGATGAAGAGTTGTAAAGCTAGACGAGGTCAGCCAGGCAGGGATGATCCAGCTCATGTAGCTGGGGAAAGACGTATTTGAGTGCTTGGCTGGGAGTTTAATGCGGGATTACCAGCGCTGAGCGTGTGGGAGTGTGACAGCGCAAGGCCCAGCAGGACGGCAAGTCGCACAAAACAAACAGGATCTGTCTGCTCTTAGTCTCTTATTGCTATATCTTGCTTTACTCTTGCTATTTCAGCTCTTTATACATCGTATTGCTTTGCTGTTTTATTTTTGTTTATTTCAGTTCACATTATTTTGTTGTTTTTTTCTGTCCCTGTGACCAGGAAGAGCCGAAGAAGGTGTGCTTCAACTACGACCTGTTTCTGAACCTGGAGGGCAACCCCCCCGTCAACCACCTGCGCTGCGAGAAGCTCACCTTCAACAACCCCACCCGCGAGTTCCGCCACAAGCTGGTCAAGGCCGGCGGTGTGAGTATGCTGGCCGTTTCCTCCCTCCATGTTGCTTTTTTAACCTGCAGTGGAAGTGGTTGCTTTTCGCTTCGGTCACAGTGTGGCTCGTCGCCCCTCCCCCGCAGGTTATCGTGGTGCCGGAGGGGGCGGAGGCTGTATCCAGGCCCAGCCCCGACTACCCCATGCTTCCCACTATCCCGCTCTCTGCCTTTTCGGATCCCAAGAAGACTAAACCGTCCCATGGCTCAAAGGTCAGTTCTGCAAGGGAGCAGGTGTTTACTTTGTCGTCTTCCTGCGACTTTTAATCACGTCCCAGTTTACAATAAGCAACGAGGATGATTACCCTGCTCCACTTGTGCAAAAATATCTAAGTAGGGATACAGAAAGTATTAGCATCAATATTATTTTTAATGCATAACAGAAAATAATGATTTTAGGCTCTAGGCGTGCCTAAAGTCTCTGTGACCTTAATTGCTTAGATGAGATTCAGTCTTATTCCATTATCATCCTTAATGTGAAATTACTAGTCTGGTTTGATTCATGTTCATTAATAAACAAGACCTACATTTTTGGGTGGGTGTCTACACATGTAAATACACATTTTCCATAAAATCGTGCATCTGGAATGAAACGTATCTGCTGCTGGGAGAAGCGGCCATCGTACAGTTGAAACCCCAGCCCGGGTTATGATGCACCGACTGTTCCTCTTCTGTCATTGGCTGCCGAAGTCCAAATAAACATGTCTGCCTCGAGCCCAGCTTCTGTGAGAGTTTAGGTTGTGACTCCGGCGCATCACCGGTGTTTTCTGAGAGTCAGCGGAGCGTATCCGTGGTTGTGGCCCTTCCATAAGTCGCACGTCGGGCCTGTGATGTCTCCGGGGTTCTCTGGGAAGGCCTGCATGGCGCTGGGATTATCAGCAGGAAACGCAAGGCCCTTTAAGAGTTCCAGATCCTTCCACGCTGTACTGGCGGCAGGCCGCGGATGCTACAAAGCAATATTTATTTGCTATTCTCGTCTCTGCTTTTGAAATTGAAACCAGTAAGGCAGCATGTCTCGTGCTTCATGTCCCTAACGAGACCTTAACTGCATAATTGGATCCATTCTTAGACGCCGCTAAACCTGCTGCCTTTGCACTCGGTGGCTTCTGGCACCAACGACATATCGACATGTGGAAAATATGCTCTCTTAACGTCGTGCGCGCTCTGATACCAGCGCCCCTGATGTAGCCCACAGAAACGTCCTTTTCTTATTTAACTGGGAATCCAGCATAACGACGGCTTGAATGTCGGGTTTCTAGCAGAGCGCGGTCTGCTTGTTTGCCCGCGCTCAGTCCGCCGGACCGTTGTGTGTTTTATATATAAAGACGTGATGAGCTTGCATTTCTGCAGCTAGAAACTTAGTCGCAGTTCTCAATGAAACAATTTAGTGTTTGATTACCACTGTTAATCAAGCCTTGTGAAAAGAAGAAATTTGAAGATTGACGAGTAACTGTCTCTGCAGTATTTTTTTTCGCCAATATATTTCCAAGTACATTATTCATAGAATGGAATGTAAGCGTATAGATGCTCCTTGTTTTATGAAGGTTCGACTTCGGCTATTTGGACTTTATGACGGTGCGATACCGATGTACATTCAGTACTCATCAGACTTTGAATTTTGATCTGTTCCCAGCCTAGCGATATGCTGTACGGTATTTGCTACTGATTCTAGGTGGTGATAGCATCCACGCATCCGAGCGCTATAGCGATCACGAGAGTGAATTTCTCAGTGTTTAACAACATGTCGTATGGTGTCGGGTTAATGTTTTGTACAGTAATGTACATTTAATGATAGGATGATCTTCTATCATTAAATAGATAAATATCTGTGGTCACAATAATTATTTACTTATTCATATTCGACTTACGACATTTTTGACTTGCGATGCGTTCAGTGCGATGTAACCCCATCGTAAGTCGAGGAGCTGAGGCCATGCAGATGTGTTGATGATCTGATGATGGTGGCTTTGTAGGAGTCCAGTAAAGAGGCCGGCAGTGCGAGCAACAAGGCTGCCAAGCCTCACAAACCCACGAAGGAGCACCGGGAGCACGCCAGGAAGGAGTCGGAGAGTAAGGGTCTGTCCAAGGCCGAGGGTGACCGCGATGGAGGCGGAGGCGGCAGCAGCAAATCCACTCGGGAGTCCTCCTCCTCCTCCTCCTCCTCCAAGAAGCCTGTGGAGATCAAGGTGAAGGAGGAGACCAAGACACTGCCTAAGGCGGCCTTCAAAGAGCCCAAGCTCACGCTGAAGGAGCCCAAGATGGAAGGCATGTCCCCCAAAGGCGGGGGGTCGGGTGGAGGGGGTGGCGGAGGAGGGGGGGGCCTGCCGGAGACCAAGGGGCCCAGCAAGCGCTCCTCCACGGTGGAGTCTCCAAAGCCCAGCGTCAAGAAGCCCAAGAAGGGAGGCTCGGAGGGCCCCAAAGCGGCTCCTGCTGGGGGCTTCACCAGCTCCTCCCCCCGCGTCTCCTCCTCCTCCTCCACGGCGCCTCATTCCTATCCGGAGAAGAAACCCCCCAAGGAGAAAGGCCGCTGGGCAAAGGTCAAGGTGGAAGCGCCCGAGGTCAAGGAGTCCAAGAAGCCCCCGGAATCGGAGGAGTCCAACTCGGAGGACGAGGCCTCCTCCAAGTCCGAGGTGAGGGAGGCCTCCTGGCCGTGCCGTGCCCCCACCCCTGTGCTGCGGTGCTCCTGGTTTTTACACCTCCCTGTTTTCACAGCAGTCGGCACCCTCCAGCCCGTCCAACACCAGTTCCAGTTCGGACTCCAGCTCTGAGTCTGACTTTGAGCCATCGCAGAAACAAGGCCAAGGTAGCGGGCGAGGCGCCGAACCGAAGCGTGGAATGTTTTGTTTTTTGATATCGACAGTCCCTGCATCTCAGAGCACATGTCTGCCCCACAAAGGCGAAACACCATTACTGCATATTTGATCAAAATCGAGTTATGACCGAAATCAGATCTCTTAGGCTCTGTTTTATCTTATGACACAATATCTTAGTTCAGCTGTGCTCTGTTTCGATGTCATTTACCGACATTTTTTTCTCAGTTTCAATGTCAGCGTAGTTACTGCTTCCCCCCGCCCCCCCCCCCCCCCCCCCCCCCCCCCCCCCCTTTGTAGGGCAGATGTCTATAGATGTACTTTATTGATCACAAGTAGTAATACTCTGTGCACCTCAAGACGAAGTACTTCTTTTTTAGTGTGTTATGTGGAGTGTGTCAGTGAGGTGACTCTGCGAGCGGTGCATGTGAGAACCTTCTGGAATGTTCTCGGTGTGATACGCCTGCTGCCGGCAGCAGTGGCGGTTAGGAGCGTTGCGCCGGAACCATCCATCCGTAACGTGAGCTCACTGTGACTCCACCCTCCCGGCTGTGTCCTCAGGGCCCCTGCGCTCCATGGTGGAGGGCCTGCAGTCGGAGGAGTCCGACGACGACGACAGCAGCTCGGAGGACGGAACTCCCGTCAAGACCAACCCACCCAACCGCGATTCCCGGTCAGTGAGTCTGCCTCGCCGCCCTTCCCGGGATCCCAAAGTCTGTCCCTCATTCTGACACTTGAACATCAGTCACAGGCTTGGTGGCCACTAGCCAGCATGCAGAACCATTTGTGATTTGTATGTGTGCTGAATGTAGTTTTTCATTCTGTTCAGCGAAGCTGGACCATTAACAGACTTAAACCCCTTAATCAGATTGCTTTTTAAAAAACTCAACTTCCTGCAGCATGATACTCCTTTTCGTCTTGTGATCCATGTTGAGATTCGGCTAATACTACCGATGACTTAATGTTAAATATACCGTTACAAATACAGTTGACTGGCAGATATACGATTGCGACACTCATTGTGTAACCAATACCTTTCCTTAAAAGACCAATTTTTAAAGCACAGGTGTAATTCAGGCTTTTATTGATATGAAGTGTTTTGTCGGTATTAAATTGTCGCTTATTTCTGTGATTGTTCATCACTGCGTTCTTAATGATGCTCCAAAAATCGCAGGGATCTGGTTGCACCCCTCCCCCCGGTTCTATGGACCGTTTGTCCGTGGCAAAGTTTCTCAGACGTAAATAAAATTGCGTGCTGGCGAGAGCGTCGGCATGGCGACGCACGGTAATGGCGGTGGTGGGTGTTCCTGTTCGGCTCGCTCGCTAATGTCGCGACGCCTCTCTGTCTCGCAGCCTGAGTCTGGACAGCGAGAGCGACAGCAGCGATGGCTCACATCGGCCCAGTCGGGACCCGCCGCCCCCCCTACAGAAGCACGTCTCCTCCAACAATAAAGTGAGGCCACCTAGTGTCCCGGGGGAGTCATTGCGAATGAGGGCAGGGGAATCGGGCTTTGTGATCGCACAGATGGGCCTTGCTTTTGCTGTGAGGATTTGTGCGTGGTGACACACGGTTCCCCTTCACCTCTCCATCCCTGTTCTTGCTGCTGCCTCCCCTCTCTGCAGGCGTCCGAAAGGAAGAGTCCAGATCCCTGTAGCCGACCCGAGAAGGCGATGAAGAAGGGGTACAACAAGGTACGAAGGGTAAATCAATATTTTTTTTATTTATGCATTTCCATTTTGGTCTTTGAATCGCTGGCCACTTTTGGGCCAGATTGACAACACTGGCTCGATGTTGTAGTGCTTCACTGCGGAGCCATTTGCACCTTGTGTTCTCCCCCCCAGGCCTACACGGAAGAACTGGTGGATCTTCACCGCCGACTCATGGCCCTGAGGGAGAGGAATGTCCTACAACAGGTCAGAGTCCATAAGTCCTGGCTTTCTCCATCCCCTGGAAGAAATCCTCATGTCCTCCTCTCATCCTCTGTCCCTAACCTCTCCACCAGATCGTCAACCTCATCGAGGAGACTGGCCACTTCAACGTCACCAACACCACCTTCGACTTCGACCTCTTCTCGCTGGATGAGTCGACGGTCCGTAAGCTACAGAGTTACTTGGAAGCCACCGCCACGTGACAGGAAGTCAGGGACAGTGGGCGGGGCCTTTCTCCTCCTCAGCTGCCCCTCCCTGGAACACTAGGCGGGGCTTGGAGAAGGAGAAACGTGAGAACGGAGTGGACTGTTGGAGGCAAATGTGGGGGGGGGGGAAACTCCTGCCTGTTGGTAGGTGCAGGAGAAGCGAATGAGCTGGGAGGGGGAGGGAGACTGGCCATCGGCATGAAAACGTGTAGGAGCTGGGGGGTTGGGGAAGATCGGACTGAGCTGGACTTTGAGCTGGACTATGGAAAAGGAGCCAGAAAGGATGGTTCTGATGGAGTCTGCGTGTTCTACTGCGCAGTGCGACCACTGGGCCATCCACACGCACATGGGCGACACTCATTCTTCATACTCCGCCCCCCCATGCACTTATTTTCTGCTGAAGTTCGCATGCGTGTAAGGGGATTCGGCCCCCGTGTGTGTGTGTGTGTGTGTGTGTGTGTGTGTGTGTGAATGGGAGGGGTCCCAGCCTCTGGAATGCCTGGCAGAATTTTGCTTCGACATTCTTCTGTTGTGGTGGGGGTTCCTTATTGGGTGAGGCTGGTCACCCAGATCAGGTTCCACGGTAGTTCTGAGTGACCCCCCCCCCTGTGTGTCCCTGTTGTAGCGCCTCGTGGAGCAGGGGTGCAGCGGAGGATCTTCTCTAAGGCCGTTTTTAGTGGGGCGGGGGCCCTCGAGCTGAAGACGCCGGCCTGGGTGTGGGATGGTGTACATTTTTATTTTCCTGCTGATATTGTAGAAGTTTTTCGATTTAGCTGATTTTGACGTTGATAATAGTGACTCAGAAGCCCATTTGCTCTTTGTCTGTGTTGGTTTCACAGGGCTATGACCGCCACCTCCACTGTCTTCTCAGTGCCTTTACAGAGTCCATTTCAGAATGGCTTGGTGGGGGTGGGGGGCTGAACACTAACGGCTAACTAGCAGAAAGCGGCCTAAAAAGCGCTTCGTTAATGACACCTGTTTAAGCGCTCCTGTGTGCCGTGGGGACGCTGGTGCGACTGGGGTGGAGGAAGAGCTCTGATAGGCCGGCGGCCCGGGCTGTGACACGTGCCGAAATGACAGCATCTTATCTTTTAAGCGGTGGTGGAGGATGGGGGGGGGGGGCGGCTGATATCGATCGGCTTGTTTATAAACCTCTAGGCATCGATTGTAGATGCTGCATCCTGCCCTTCCTGTCCTGCCACGCCATCCTGTACACAAAGCCGCGCGCTCGAACCGGCAGCCGCGGTGGAGCCTCACCCTGTGACACTGGCGGCCTGGCGCTGCTGCCGTCTCCGGTTTTCCCATCTCAGGCTCCCGCTCTGTGGAAGTTCTCACCTCTCATGGAGACTTGGTGGTTCTATAGCTGGTTGGGCCTTAATGACGGTGTCTGCAGCTCCCTCCATACCCCCCCCCCCCCTCTCCGTGGGGCTGCGGGATGGCTGTCTGTCGCCACCACTTCCCAATCCACGCCGGAGATGATTCCTGCCCCCCCCCCCCCACGCGCGTCTCCTCCGACTCCTCGCCCCCAGAGACGTGTGTTTTCGCGCGACAGCGTACGGCGTTCATAGCTTTATTGGAGTCGTCCTTTCTGCTGCCTGCCTTCGAGAGCGATTGTCCCTCCCACCGTGCAGCATGAGTGAGGAGTGAGCGGAGTCCATCACGAGCCGTTTCTAACGACTAAAGCACAGAGTTTAACGTACCCAGTTAGGAATTCCTGTATATTTATACACCATTCAGTCCGGATTTGGAGCAGTAATCATCAAATTGACGCAAACTTTTTTTTTTTTCCCGCTCTTTCATTTTTCTTTCCGCTTTTTATTAAGCCAAAACCTTAAATCTCCTCCGTGTGAAGATTTCTGCATGGTAATGACTTCTTGTGTTTTTTTTTTTTTTGGTCCCCTCTTGAACTTTTAACCTTTTAACTCCAAGTCTCAGTTCGTGAACTCTGACCTTTTGACTCTGCACTCTGCACGTTCTCTGTGTAGTGAAGATGGG